TCTGCTGTAGGTTTTAATGAAGCAGAAAAATGTTTGTTAGGAATGCAATCTTTAAAGGAATGGGAAGGAAACACAGGATACTCTGGACTGGCTAAGTTATATTAGTTTGTATAATATGATTTCAAAGACAAAATGTATTTCTGTATGCAGGAGAAATATTCTGCATTTCTTAATCTGGTAAAATTGAACAGAGTTTTCTTTTGGGATCGTTTTTAATATGGGAAATGGTTTTATCATCGTGGAGCTGTTTAAGACATCATTTATGTGGTGATAAAAACCTGCCACACTGTGACACTCAGCTGTGTCCTAGGAACAGGGACAAGCTGTAAATCCTCTCCCTGTGTTTGAGGCAGGGATTTGTGGATCCAACACCCCATCCCTGCGAGGCACAGCCAGGAATGCCACCCCCTGAGCCAAGGACAGTGACTCCACTCACACGGGAGGGGTCACCAGCCCAGCTGGGTCAGGCTTGCATCCCTCTGATCCCAAATTCCCATCAGCTTCCCCAGGGACAGTGTGATCAGCAGCCAGAGAGTGACAACTATTGCAGCTTTGTCTCTGGGTGCTGGAAAAGGTTTTTTTTCCTTTAAAGATGGAGAACTGGGAACAAAGGCTCCTGTTATACTGGGAAATAGCACAGCAGCAAAATCCCAAGCCCAGATTAAACAGTCCCAACAGAGGGTAAGCAAAACATACAAATGTCACCTCAATCCTCTTATTCCAAGTGCTGCTTTCAAAGGCACTTTAAACACCCTTCAACTTGTCCCCAAATGCCCAAAAACCCAAAACCACCCAGGCAGCATCTGCCATTTATTGCCATGGACCAAGAAAAGGAAAGCAGCACAGTCAGAGTGTTGGGAAATGAAGCTCCAAGCAGTGATAAATCAAAATTCAAAGGTATTGATAACCTGAAATGCCCCCCATTGCAGTTTGTACCTCAGAATTATTCTCCTTTTCAGGGTTTCAACTTCAGCCTGAATATGATTTCTGCTTTGGTTTTTTCAACTCCACAAGAGTGAGCAATTCATTTTCTCAGCATTCCTCAAGAAAATGTGCAACTGAAAAGATGTAACGATGTAACACAGGCAGTTTCCACCAGGGAATTTCCACCAGCTTGGCAAAGAGCTAAAAAATGTTAGGGGTTCAGATCCCAACACCTGGGCTGAGCTGAAATTCCTCTTATAATCATTTCACAGTGGTCTTCCCTGAATGCAAAACTGCAGCAGGAAGGGTAATTATCATGTATAATGTGTATTTATTATTAACATTATGTGTATTTATTATTAACATTATATTCCATTTTGCACAGTTATGTTCACTACATCTAAATTGCTGTATTAAAGAAAGCCATGGGTTGAGTCTTACTTGGAAAACAATCTTCCACCTGTTCCCCAGGAATTTCCTGAGGGAAAAGAGGGGTGTTTTTATAATTTTATAATCCCTGTTGTGTCCCCAGCAGAGGTGGGCAGAAGGAACTCCAGGTGTGGAATCTCCTGCACAGGCAGACCAGAGGTGGGAGAGGAAGCAGGGACCAAGCAGTCCATTGGAAAGACAAATATCCAGAATATTTGTTACAATCTAGAACTATTCTATAAAAATAAATAAAAATTCCATAAAAAAAATAAATACTAGTCATGGGGAATAAACACCTGTAACCCATTTTTAATATAACAGCTGAACCAAACCTCAAAATAAAGGGCAAAAGCAAAGCAATAAAACAAGATAAATACAGAACAGGCCTTTTGAGAAAATGTCTCCAGCTGATCTTTAACATTTGATCCCAATTCAGCAGCCAATGCTTCCTCACCCATTTTATCAGATTTTCCCTGGGAAGCCCTGCAGTAGGAACTGGGCCTGTGTTTGCAGGGGCCCCCTAAACAAATCAATGGCTCATTAGTACCTGGGGAGCATCCAGCTTAATGAGAGAGTCTGTCCATCCTTTACCAGAGCCCAAAACAATCCCTGCAGAGCAAACAGAGAGGATCTGAAAAGTCCTGCTGTGGTAAGAATTGAGATCAGGGTTATAAAATTCATCTTAGAGCTTTCCACCATTTGCAGTTTGTCACCACAATTTGAAATGTGACTGTTTGGTATCACTCTGGTGTAACAAGTTTACACTCATTTTGTGGGATTAAAGGCTGTTCTAAGGTTTTAGGAAGTTACCCAAGATCTTAACAACTGCTTAGAGAGGTTACCAGCTTCTGAGAGGATTGAAGAACCGACAACACCAGTGCCAGACTGGGACCAGCACCCCCTGTGCTGGTTTTTAATCCAAGCCAATGGAAGTGACAGGGAATAACTGAAGAAAAACAGCTGAACAGGGGTGGGAGAGATAGGAAATCAAAGTTACCCCACACAAACACCCCCAAATGCAGCAGCAGGTTAAAAAGGGGAGCTCAGCAAGCCTGGAGCTGAAGGGACCCTGCCAAAGGTGAGCAGGATTCCCAAACACTCCCTGTGCACAGATGTGACCCACCCTCACCTCCTGCAGAGCCCCACACTCAGGGCACTGCTGTGAAAATGAAGCTCCAGCCCTTCCAAACAGACCCCACAAACTCCTTCCAAACAGACCCCACAAACTCCTCCTCACTGTGGGGGACTCAGGAACTCCATTTCCCCAGCTCTGGGGAGATCAGAATTCCCCACCTTAATATTTTCATCACTTTAATACCGAAGTGACCTGGAAGAGAAGGAGAGCTCTGATGCCCCCTGCATCCCTGCCCTGCTGGCAGAGAATGGATTTTATCCAGACTCCCTGGAAGAAAGGGAAAAGCTCAAGCCCTACCTTACACCCCACCTTTTTTATGGAATGCTTTAAAAACCTCCCAAATTCACCACAAACACAAGAAATAAACTGTGATCCTTTACCTTTCCAACACATTCTACATGAATTCCACTCCCATGGCTCCTGGAATTGCCCATTCCACACCAGGAAAGCAGCACTGGACATGTTTTACCTTGCCCCTCACACCTGCCTGTTGTCACCTCTTGAAATTACAGACAGACAAATCTTTAAGCATCAGATATGTTTATTAGACAATTCCAAAAGTCAGTTTTAGTAGGCAACTTGGAAAGAAAAGTAGAAGATATTTGAGTGTCCATGTTTTAATACTTGGTGGTGTCAGGGATATGGCAATCATAAAAAACTGTTTACAAAAGGCACAAAAGCTGCACTCCCAATGGCAGGAACAGGATGAGCTGGCAAGGAAGCTTTGGGAAATGCTGATCATGGAACACTGATCTTGCCATGGAGGTGCAGCCACAAAAATCAGCCTTGTGTGGAAATTAAGGCACTTTGGATACACAGTATTCACTTCCACACAGGGAAACCATTCCAGAGAAAGCACAATAAATTCCCACTGCAGGGATGGAACACAATTCCCAGTACAGACCATCAGAGCTCAGTGGGAGTGAAGCTCTGGAGAAAAAACCCCACTGAAATAATATTATTTTTTACCATATTTGATAACAAAGTAAATTTACTTTACAGAGATTAAGGAAGATCTCCATGATTCCAACACAATTTTAAACATGTAATGTAAAGTCCATGTGAAAACTGCATGAAATTCACATTAGGGATTAGTGCACGTAGCTACTTCCAAATAATACTACAAATAATAAAAACAATAATAAAAAAAGCATTGACCTTCTCTACTCACCACCCACGAGGTCCCCACCAACCACAGCCCAAAGGGGATACAGTACAATGGAAAAATTTGGCAAAAAGCAATTTAAACCAGCATTTTCTGGTCCTCCTGGTCCCTTTAGATTGTCCTTGTTCACTGCTCCTGTCACACACTACAGAATGATTTCTTTTCAGGAAAAATTCCATCTCAGCTGCTTTTCCTCCCCAAAACTCCACCAGTAATTGAGTAGTTTTATAGATTTCTATCTCAGCCTTTGGTACTTCAATGGAGTAAAAGCTTTCCAGAACCCAGCCCCAATCCAAGAGGAGTTAAATGGAATTGTTAGCAATGGCATTAGGAATTTACCATCAGGCACTGACTGGGTTTTATTTCACTGTTTTACTCCATTATGGAGTGAAAAGTGCCACTGTGTAGGGAAAAAAGGCATCTTCTTTAGAGTCACAGCAGGATTTAAACATGGAAATGATGTTTCATATGAAATGTTTGGTTATCACTAAAACAAGCCATTTTCCCAGTTCCAACAGCTTTCATCAAAAGCAGGAAGAAGACACTCAGATAATTTGTTATTCCCAGGATTTTTGTAAGTTTATCCTGCTATGCCTTGGATGGAGCATTAACATCCAGAAATAAACTGTCCTTTAATGTTAATTCCTCTGTAGCAGTAATTAATTACACAACTAAAGTAATAAAATTACATTTCCTTAAGTGTGGTTATGTGAATGTTTAGTAGGATAATGCTATTAAAAATATAGTGTTTTAATGCAATAACAACCTTCTTCCAGACAAAAAACAGGAGCTGAAGAAGGGTGTGTTAAAAGCAAGGAGGAAATAAGAAATGCTACCCAGCAGAACACTCCTTTCCTAGCAATTCACACCCATAAAAACACAGAGTTGAACATTAAAATGTGATTTAAGTGTCCTGAGGGTAGTTTCTCCTTTTGTGAACCTTCATAGAAGTCATGTCAGCTTTAAGATGCATTAAAATATGTTATTAGCCACAATTTTTAAACTGAACAGAGACAGAAAATATCTTTGTGTGGAGAAAATGATCTTTAAACAAACATAAGTGGAAGGGTTTTTAACCAGTTATCTTCTTTTGCTTTCCTCAGGCAGCAAGAGTTGGCATCACTTATGTTTGGCTTTATTATCATTAAGAAAAATTACAGTTTTTCTCAAATTAATGAGATGTAGATGAAATAATAACTGATCCTAATTGAAGCAGAAAATTTGATCAAGTTGAACAATCCCAATTAGGATAATCTTCATATTAATCTCTGATTATATGGGTAAAAACCCAACAGGAGTAGTGACCAATGGCTCAATGACACTGCAATAAACCAAAAACTAATGCAAATACAGAAAAAAATTGGTAAAACTGCTTATTTTTTGTAAACTTCTTCAAGGATAAATTCATAATAATTCCCCATTTTAGTGGCTACTTCAAGCCAAGTGTCAGCACTGTCCCTTTGGCTGAAGTGCATTTAAAAAAGCAAATTATTACATGATAATGTAAAGCCAGGTGAATGTTATAACACACCACACACATCAGAATATCTCTACATACACACAGAACAGGGGAAAAGCTGTGAAATATTGAAAATTACCAGCACCACAGAGAGCTCCTACCACTGCTCCCAGCTGAAGTCATCTCCTCTGCCAAAGACAAGGAAAAAGCCTAAAATGGTCAGGAAAATGACAGCATTGCCAGCCAGCACCAGGCCACAGGCTCCCCACTTGATCTGGAATGCAAGAAATGGAACACTCAAAGCACTTCTGGGAAAAGATGCTCAGGACAGTTATTTACAGCCATTAGATCAGCTAAAACACTAAAAAATCAAAATACTACAGAAAGGTGCTAAAAGCAGAGCAGGCAAACAATAAAAAACTCAATTTGTGTGACTAATTATTCAATTAGCAGTCACTTGTATCATTAATAAACACTTCAGCCAAGCTACTGCTAGGGTTTAGAAGAAAATGATGACTTGCCTTCCAAATCATTGAAACACACCTAAATCAGAGAGAAAGCTGCTGAAATTAGTGCTCTCCTTCCATTGCCAAGCAACAAAATCAAAATATCTCCTTTTAAACAAGTCACAGGCATGGAAAACATGGATTTAAAAGTAAACAGCTTTTTTCTTTATTCATGAGCTGCAGAAGTGATTCACTTAAATAAGGAACATTGACTCCCAAAACACACAACTGAGAGTTCCCTCTCGTGGTTGTTCTGCTGCTGCGAGGCCCCACCTCCAAAATAAAAATATCAGGGGGACTGGGCATTGTCAATAAACTCAGAGCAAGTACACAACATTTATAAATGTATTTACAAATGTATTTATTGTGTAAATTAATAAATTCAGAGCAAGTACTCAACATTTATAAATGTATTTATAAATGTATATGTATATATTGTATGTATAATATATATAATATATAAAATATATATTATAATAGATAAAAATATATAACATATATAAATGTATGTATATAAATGTATATATACATTTATAAATGTATTTATAATTGTACTTAATGTGCAAACAAATTCAGAGCAAGTAGACAACATTTATAAATGTATTTATAAATGTACTTATAAATCTATTTATAAATAGTATGTATAATATATAATATATATAATAGTAATATATAAATATATATAATATATATAAATGTATGTATATATATATAAATGTATATATACATTTTAAATGTATTTATTGTGTAAACAAATAAAATCAGAGCAAGTAGACAACATTTATAAATGTATTTATAAATGTATTTATAAATGTATATGTATATATTGTATGTAAAATATATATAATATATATAATAATAATATATAATATATAACATATAAATGTATGTATATAAATGTATATATATACATTTATAAATGTATTTATTGTGTAAACTAATAAATTCAGAGCAAGTACTCAACATTTATAAATGTATTTATAAATGTCTTTATAAATGTCTTTATAAATAGTATGTATAATATATAATACATATAATAGTAATATATAAATATATAATAATATATACAAATGTATGTGTATATATATAAATGTATATAGACATTTATAATTGTATTTATTGTGTAAACAAATAAATTCAGAGCAAGTACACAACATTTATAAATGTATTTATAAATGTATTTATAAGTGTATATGTATATATTGTATGTAAAATATATATAATATATATAATATATATTATAATAATATATAAATATATAACATATAAATGTATGTATATAAATGTATATATATACATTTATAAATGTATTTATTGTGTAAACTAATAAATTCAGAGCAAGTACACAGAGTTTAAAGGAGTGAAAGGGAAAACCAACAGGATTCACAAAATCACTGGGACTGAGGGAATTCTTTGCCTTTCAGACAAATGTGACCAAAATCTCCCCACTGGGGAGAAGCTCAGAAAGCAAAGAGGAAAGAACTGAGGCAGAGTTCCCTCAGGTTGTGAGAGGCCAAACTTGGGAAATGCTCTGAGAGCCACAAGAGCAGCTCTGGAAGTTTGGCCTTTTATCTTTTAACTCTTAACACTCCCAGCCCCCAGGTTTGCAGCATCCTGAATGGAGAAAGCAGAAATTCCAAGAGAAAAATAAGGAAGCTGGAGCTAGAAGTGATGCAGAGGGTCATGAGATAGAGGCATGAGGTGCAGGAGATGTTATCTTGTGTTGGGCCCAAACAAGGCTGGAGGGGGAAAAACACCAGCTAAAAACTTCTCAGTCATATGAGCGCTTTTTTTTTTTTATCACATCAAAAAAGCAAATTTCAGTGGATTATTTTCACCTGGAGACAGCAGAGTAATGAAACAAAAGCAGGATTGAAGATGATGCCCAACAAATGGGGCCTGAAAAGAAAAATCAGCAAGGACTTACTGCTTCCACCCGTGCCAGGATGATGGGGAATCCAAAGGCAGAGACAACAATTCCCGTGGTGAAGAAATAGGCCAGCTCCCTGCAGGCACTGCTGGCTGCATCGCTGTCATCTCCCACCCTCTTGGCAATGAAGTGGGGAATGGGGCAGATGAAGTAAAAGATCAGCACAAACAGGGGCCAGTACACACTGGGGAGGGGCAGAGAACAGTGTTAAAAGAGATACCTCGGTCACAAAGCTGGTGCAAAACTCCTAATGCTGCTTTTTGGCCTGAAAATTGGATTGATCAGAAGATTGCACCCAAAGTGGGGCAATCCCACCTGGATTTCCCTGCACTGATAGAGCAGCATGCAGCAAGGGTTCATTTATTTTACTTTTGAATCATTTTGCTGATTCAGCTCTGAGCACAGAGGGAGCAGGAAATGCACTGATAGAGCAGGAACAGGAGCAGCATTCCCAAATTACAGGGATGAAGCAGGCACACCCTCACATCTCCTCTCTGCATCACAGCTCTCATGAGCCTCCTGCGAGTTTTTAAAGTGTTTTACAGACAAAGAATTACAAATTACAGGGATGAAGCAGGCACGCCCTCACATCTCCTTTGTGTCAGAGCTCTGAGGAGCCTCCTACAAGTTTTTGAAGTGTTTTACAGACACAGAATGACGGAATTACAGAACAGTTCGGGCTGGAAGGGAAGCCAAAACTCACCCAGCTCCAGCCCCTGCCACGGGTGGGGACATCCCAAAAGGAAACTTGTGGGGGGAGGATTGTGTACAAAGAAACAGGAAATTAAGGAAATGTTGGTGTGAGATTACAAAGCAAGGCGGCACCGCTTTCCCTGAGGCAGCACAGGGCTGTTTGCAGTGCTTTTATTTTAATGCAAATACAAATACCGCCTTAGGAAGTGATGTGTAATCACAACAAAGCGCCACGTGCCAAGAGCCTGGGAGCGGGGGGCGGCAGTAGGAGCCAAAGAGCCCCATTAAATAATAAAATAAAGGCTTAATTAATGGATTTTAACCAGAAGCTTTGAGAAGGGCGCGGGCCCGCTCACCCGTAGTACTCCAGGGCGCAGCCCAGCATGAGGAACGTCAGCCCGATGGCTCCGCTGAACGACAGGGCCACGAGAGCTGCAACGGCACAGGGCGGGCGGTGAAGGACCGGCCCGCGGGACACCGGACCCGTGAGGCACCGGGCGTCCCTCCCGGGGCACCCGCAACCGCCTCACCGCGGGCCGGGCATCCCTCGGCGGGGGCCGGGTACCACCTCCCCCGGTGCCGGGCATCCCTCCCCGCCTCTCCCGGCCGCCCGCCCCCGCGTGAGGCGCTGCCCGGGCCGCGCTCCCTTCTGAGGGAGCCCCCGGTACCTTTCACGCCCGCCATGTCCGGGCTCCGTTGGCACCGTGCGACTTCCGCCTTCTGGCCACGCCCCTTCACCGCGCGTCACGTGACCGAGCCTTTAAAAGGGTGGGCGGCGGGCGGGAGGGTCTTTTCCCGCCACGCCCGCGCTCGCCACAGGGGGCGGAGCCTCCTGAGGGGACGCGCCCCGGTAGGGTTTAACGCACTTAAAGCTCGCCAAAAACGGGTTTGTTCTCCTATATAACCCTTGTATGAGGGTAAAAAATGTGTATGTGCGTGCGTTAAATTCGTATCTGTGCGTAAGACAAGAATATTTGTGCGCAAATATATATTTGTTTGGATTTGAATCTGTAAACACCGCTTTAAAGAGCCCCCGCCCCTCAGGCGCTGCCGTTTTGTAGGTGCTCCTGAAAACCTCTGTTTTCACCCCAAAAACGGAACCGGCCCGTTTTCCTCAAGCAGGGCCACCTCAGGATCTACATCATCCACCCTTGTGCTAATCCACACGAAGAAAGGCAGAGCTTTTTTTAAAGTTGTGCTTTTCAAGCCTTGGATTTTTGAGATGACACGTTCGAGCTCCCAGTTTTAAGCCAAGAGAAACCTTTTTGCCCCAACAACGGCCTTTTTACCCAAGAACAGTCTTATTAATTCAGCGATGGCCTTTTTGCCCCAAGAATGGTCTTTTTGCCCCAAGAACAGCATTTTTGCCCCAAAACCAACCTTTTTGACCCGATAACAGCATTTTTGTCCCAAGCAAAGCCTTTTAGAGGGAGATTTTGCACAACATTTTCAATAACCCCCCCAGGGAGCTTTTCTTCAGATACCTCCCTCCTCAACTCTTCTATGTTCCCTGCTCCATGTTTTTCCTCATTTTTCATTATTTTACATTATTTTGAGCCAGAAGGCTAATTAAAACAAGCTTAATCCACTAAATGCTTCCAAAAAACTTGAAAAATTCGAGTTTGCTGGTTTGTTTTTCTGTGGGTCTCTGAAGGTAGGAGCCTGAGAACAGCAATGCAAAGTTGTTCCCAAATAATTTGGGAAAAGAATCTGGAATGCCAACCTGTGGATAATGACAGTGACAAAACCGACCCAGCCAGGGCTCACCACCCGTCACACAGGAGATGTAGGACTGGAACCTCGTGGTCACAAGCACAAAAGATAGCTGAATTTGTTAATTTGAGCTTTTTAATGTATATACAAATGTTTTAGACCAGTCACAATTTCATCGAGTATATACCGTATTTACAAAAATTACAATAATTTAGTCAAACAGTAAACCTGAACATTGATAACCTCTGTCACTACCAGATATGACAAGAATGGATTTTTTTTCAGTTAACTATTTGGATATACATACGTCCTAATACTTTCATGCATCCATAAAAACATTAGGGATGGAAGTAATCAAAGCTTAAGTGGGGTAGAGGATTGGATTTTTTTTTTTTTTGGTAAAGTTTAATGGTGGATTTGTATTTTTGTGAATGGATGAGTATCCAGAGTTATGTGCTGTGACAAACTCGAGACAAAGCTAATGAGGTTTTCATCATTAAAAAAAGTACGTTATAGTAATGAGATCCTTTTTATTATATAGGCATAGGTCACAATATCTACAAATGTGAATGAGAAACAATAAACCAACAAATCACAGGAACATGATTCACATTCCAGTTATCTCTTTAAATAAGACAAGCACATACTGGATCAAAACATTAATAAATAACATCCAGTTTGTTACTATTATCTTAAGGTCTTTTATATAAAAGGAGACCTATGTGTTGGTTTCACATTTTCAGTTAATGGCAGTAAATAATGGACCAGTACAACAAAAGGATGAGTTTTATACAGAAAGCCATGTACTTTGACACACTGTCTTTGCAGTAATAGCTTTGCCACTTGAAAATGTAAGTGCAACAAGTAGTGGATTGTCTTGAAAAACCACCAGCCTTAAAGACTCACATCCGATGGCAACCTGCTCCTGAGGCAGAAAATACAGATTATTTCCTGCCCATCTACTGAGTATCCCTCAAATACGGGTAGGTGCTGGTAAATAAACTGCTAGCTTTAGTTACTCTACAAAAGAACGCCAGAATTTGGGGTGAAGTTTGAATTTCAACTCGCTTTGGAGCTAGGAAAGCTGCTTCAGCTTCAGCAACAGAGAGATTCCCTTGTGATGCCACTGCTTTGGTCCAATAGAAACTTTAGAGTGAATCAATTTGCACTGGAGTGACCCCAGAGATCAGACCTGGTCTGTGGATGTCTGTGCGACAGCTCGTGCACCATGATCTGAGAAATGAACTTGCAACGGGTTTCAGCCTGCCAAGAGCCTTGGCCAAGTGCTCTGGCGCTGATAAAGGCATAAAGGTGATACAAGTGGGCTGGGAAAAGTTCTGAATCCGCAGGAGGGGGAGCGCTACCTAGAAACTGGGAAGTTTCTAAACCTTTCCGGCAGAATTTTGAGTTGTTGGCATTTCTGTGATGGTTCCGAGCTGCTGATGAGAACCACGGGAAATGCAGCACGTGCTCATTCCTCACTTGGACCAGGATTCAAGGTGGATTCACCCTCCCTTCCCCCCAAAACTGCTGCTTAACAAACCAGCAAGGGGCTGCTGACCCAAGGACTCGTTGCTCGCTTTCCAAAGCATCTGGAGGAATTCTGCCTGCACATTTCTGCGGGGCTGGGAGGTGAAGCACAGCATTAATCAATGCAAAAGCAGCTGCCACACTGGCCCAGCCCAGGATTCAGCTTTGGCTCTCTTCAGCCAGACTACGCTAGATGAGCAATTAAGCAGCAAATGGTGACTGTTAGGAGTGTGCCTAAGCCACAGCTGAGCACTTCAAGTGGATAATTCCATCCAAACTCAGGAAAAAAATAACATACATCCAAGTTTGGGCCTCACCAGCAGTTGTTGAACTCAACTGAAGCGTTGCCATATCACACCTCACAAAAACAAGGTAGGAAATTCACCAGCTACACTTTGTTGGAGACAGACCAGTTCCACCTTTTCCCAGTATGTGTTCTCTCTTGTCCCACTGGAACCCAAAATGAAATAGAAAAGTTACCAGAAACTGTAACTCTGTGGCTCTGGTGGGCTGAGCCAGGTGGCCAGAGTTCCTCTGAGCTCAGGATTCTGGAGACAAGTGTTAGGAAACCTTTCTCATGTTCTTCATGATAAGTATTAGGCTCTTAGTTTTCTGAAACTTGTGAATTTCCAGCCAGAGTTTGGTTGATCTGTGACATTTGTGACAAGAGACTAAATAAGCACTAGCACGGGTCTGGAGTGGAGGCTGACAAAGTACCTAATACAAGGGTTTTTGTCCTTGGTTTTCAAATTCTGACCAGGCATCGTTCAGCTCCATAAATATCATCTTTGCATATTGTTCATATGGCTGCCCAGTAGCCTGGAATAAAAACAGAGACAAGAGAGGGATATCAGAGCTCCCAAACCTAACCACAGCAGCTGGCACGTGAGCAGATTCCCAAGCAGTTCCAGGAAATTTCACTTTTTCCTTGACAAAAATCAGCTGCTCTGGAGGGCTGCTTTCCTTAAGAATTTCTTGGCTTTGCTGCTCCTCAGAGCTGACAACCCCCAGAGTGGGATAAATCACCATAATACATGTCACCTTCTAAATAATAAATATGCCCTTGGCATTGGCAGAGGAATTTACCTGCAAGGAAGGGGAAGAGCTGCCACCTGACATGGTTCCTGGGTGAGATCAGAATTCCTGCAAACCTCAGGCAGCCCACATCCTCCAAGCCTTGGGACTCCCGTTCCCTGCCAAGGGGGAGCTTCCTCCTCCCCACAGGGTGTCCCTGATGGAATTGCTGCTCCCTGGTCAGCAAGTGGCAGCAGCCAGGGCACGAGCCACAAGCTGGGCAACCAAACATCCTGGTGGTTCCATTGCAGGAGTTTGATTGGAACTGCTGCCCAGCAGCAGAATGGCTGAGAGTCAAAGTGAGGGGGACAAAAGCTCTGAATGTCTTGAAGCAGCAGGTTCCAGGCACAGCCTCAGGCTGGCAGTGGTTTCACAAAACCCCTGGCTGCTTTGGGCAGGGAGGGACCTTAAAGCCTAAATGGTTCCATGGGCAGGGACACCTTCTGCTACCCCAGGTTGCTCGAGCCTGGCCTTGAACACTTCCAGGGATGAGTTGAGAGTTCTCAACTTCCAGAAATCAACAGAAATCTTGAGCTCCCACTTTCCACGGAGCTGTTTGCAGCAATAAATCAGTGATCCCATCCAACCCTTTATACTCAATTCTGGTTTCCCCCTGAGGTGGAGGCAGCCCAGCCTTACCTTGTCGGGGTGAACGACGAGCACAGCCCGCCTGTACACCTTCTTCACCTGCTCTGGGGTCACCAGGTCTGCCATACTCACAGGCTTCCACTTGGTCTCCCCTGCCCACAGCACCGTGTGCATGGTGGACAGCAGAGCCCTGATGTTCCTCTCCTTGCCCTCGATCCACTCCAGGACCTGCAGGAAGGAGTGCAAGTCTCTGTTTATGCCTCACTTTAGATATTCCACCAGGACTAAGTTTCTTCATTTGAATAGCCGTGACCCTGAGGAGCATCTTAAATTTCTTTCCATGCTTTAGAAACCTTCAGAAAACCTTTATCTAATTGTCATTAACTTTTATATCACTGTTTTTAAATTATCATTAATTTTATATCACTTGAAAGTTAAGACAGACTTTGAGCAACATCCCTGCTAAAAACACTGACTTAGTAATGCTTGATGGAATAGCCACAATTAAATGTTTAACTGTCTGGTTCTTTAGCAAGGTCAATTGCACACCTCAACTAAGCTCAGCTAAGCTAAAATGTAAATGAAAAACCAAAGCATAAATAGATTTTACAGTTCCAGGCTGAGCTGCCCCAGTGAAATAAAAAGGCATCAGAGCAAAGAGAATTACATTGGGAAGGCCAAATCAGCTGGGAGCATCAGTGATTCAACAGCTTTTGTGGGGATGAAAATGGGAGCTGGGAAAACTCCTGCCCACTCCATGGCCTGACCTCTGGCCAGCTGTTGTGGCTGATGGTGGTGTTCAGTGTGGTTACT